AAATTTTTTAAAAAAGTATAACCTCCAAGGCTGAATGTAAACACTATGTTTTGGTTTTTTTGAGATAAGATCACCCTATCTAGTTCTGGCTAGCCTTGGACTCATGGCACTCCTACTGCCTCAGCCTCCTGAGTGCTAGGATTACAGGTGAGCACCACCACACCCAGCTAAACACTATGTATATGTGCTGTGGATACAAGGATGAGCTAAACACTATGTATTGCAAATATGTACTGATAATTTTTTTCACATTTAATAAATAAATAGCAGGCTGGATGTGTAGCTCAGTAGTACAGCACTTGTACAGCATGCAAAAAAGTCCTAGACTGGAGTTCGGTTCCCGGTACCGGAGAAAAACTAAAACTAAAAAAAAAAAAAAAATTAAAAAAAAAGTCCTAGACTGGATCCCCAATACCAAAAAACAAATGGTAAATTGGGTTTTACTTTTTTTCTTACATATACCAACCCCCCTCCTCCCAAGATAATCAAAGTTAACTTGAATAGTTCGTATTTTCAAGATAGTTTTAGGACTGAAATGTACCACAAATATTTGGATTCACAGTAAGTCTCTCCTTAGTGAATGGAGATGAGACAATTCAGCGACTTCACAAGAACTTACATGTATGGTATTAAAAGACAGAACCCTGGGATAGGGCGGCATACTTTCAAAGATCAGGAAGAATTTGAAAGGATTTTAATGTAAGCACTTCCAGGCCAGAGGTATAACTGCGGGAGGGCAGCACTGGTCCCTGAAAATGACACATATTAGGTGGTAAATTAATTCCAAGATTAATGAACGAAAGAGCAGCAGCTTCGCACAGCGGAGTGGGAGCAGGAAGGTAGCTAAAGACCATACCGGGTGAGGTTTAGGGGAAAAAAGACGCCAACGGCTAGCGTAGGTCTTGTATTGGCTTTCTGCGTGGACGCTACTGTTGTGGTTGCGTGGAGCTGGCCTCTGCTTTTCTGACACAACACCGAGGAAAGGTGACGCGCAGGAGTCTGAGGTCCATGTTTACATCTAACCTCGACCCCTCTGCACTCCCAGCAGTCTCCGGGCGCTCAACTCCGGATGCTCCAGGCCAACGACACCGGGACCACCAAGCAGGTCCCCTACCCGGAGACCATGTTCTCAAAGTTGTCCCCAGTCACCTCTTTTTTTTTTTTTTTTTTTTTGTCTTTCTGAGACAGGGTCTCCCTATGCAGTTCAGGCTGATCCTGAGCTCACTTTGTAGTCCAGGCTGGTCTCGAACTCGCAACGATCCTCCTGCCTCAGCCTCCCGAGTGCTGGGATTACAGGCGTGCGCCACCACGCCCGGCTCCCAGACACTCTTGATAAAGAGTTCGCTGCTCGCGACCCAGCGGACTCCACCCGCAGAGTCAGGTACCGCCAGGGGCGCTCCGACAGCCCAGGCAGGAGGAGCAGGCCCAACTAGGAGCTGCGAGCTCAGCCCGGGGCGAGGAGCCGCGGGAGTGAGCTGAGGTCCCTACCACCAGCCCCAAAGACCTGCTCTCTCCCGCCTCCCCGCGTGCGGCATCAGGCGGAGCTCCAGGACTTTCTGCCAACTCCAGCCCGCCTGGCCTCCTCGCAGGGGCGGGGCATAGCGGGGCGGGGCTCGTGGGGCGGGGGCTCGTGGCGGGGGGGCTCGAGGGGCGGGGCGTCCCGGGCGGGGTCTTTTCTGGCGCGCGTGCTCAGGGCGACTGAAGCCCGGGACCTTAGCTGTGGCCGGTGCGCGGGGCGAGGCACCCAGGAGACTGTCGGGTCCCCGGAGCTTGGGGTCCAGGAAGGCCAACGCCAGTAAAGCTCCAGCTCCGGTGCTGGTGTGTGCAGGCAAATGCGGACGGGCACCGGAGCTTGAGCGAGATTGGGACTGGGGGCTCTCGGCCGAGGGGCAGCCGCAGCGCAAAGGGAAGGGGTTGGCCTTGAGCTGGCGACGTTGCCTTTAAGGAGGTCGCTTTTCTCCCTGCGAGCTCCCGCTGTCCCATCGTGGAGCTGAGACAAGTCACGTGCGAGAGCCGGACGGGATGGCTCATGGCTGTAATTCTAGCACTCTGGAAGGCTGAGGCAGGAAGATCGAAAGTTCAAACCCAGCCTGGACAATTTAGCGACTTAATGAGACCCCTTCAAAATAAGAAGGGCGGGGGATGTAGCTCTGTGGTGAAGGCCTTGGGTTCATTCCCAGTACGGGTAGGGAGGGGGAGCGACAAGAAGGATTGTGAGGAACGTTAGGTGAGCGGTGTAGTCCAAGGACACACACCCACTTCCTGTTCCACTTTCCTGGCCTCTTCTCTGCCTGCCCTGTGCCCTGGACCGAAAGCCCCGAGGGCAGAGCCTCGTACGTTGTATTTAGCTCGAAGGCCAGGCACACGGAACACCCTTGCCAAAAATATGCCCCATGAATGAAGACTCGCAAGGAAGTTGGCACACGGCAGACATTTTATTCACTTAGTTTTGTTTCTGAAGTAGTGACCCGCTGTGTGACAAAGAGTGGCCTCAAGCTATCTTCCTGTCTCAGCCTCCCCAGTGCTGGGATTACAGGCGTGCTCCACCATACCCCGCGATTGATTTATTTATTTTAGAGACAAGGTCTCACTATAGTCCAGGGTGGCCCCGGACAGCTCTAGTCCTAAAAGAAAGGTACGGTCTTTCAGACCCCCACGGGACACGGGCCCATCCTTGTGGGAGGGTGTAGTGGCTGGGAGAGGTAGTTAGACTTTCACTTTAGGCACTGCAGGGTCGGAATCAGGATTCAGCGTTTTTTGTCTTTATTTCTCTGGCCCCGCCCTCTTCCCAACCCATCCCGAACTGGGAAGCAAGGGTTAACTTTTAGGAAGCTCCTTCATCACCTGAATGGGACTGGAGCAGGGAACTTCCTGTCCCATTTTCTTGGGAGTCCTTCCCTAGGCTGGTGGAAACTGGCTCTGGTCCTGGAGCCCTCAGAGAAGCCCCTACATCGGTGCCTCTGTAGTGGGAACCCGGAGCGGTGAGTTGGAGGCCTGTGGTATAGGCTCACAGCAGCATGGGGGGGGAGGGGGACTCCAGGCCTCGGTGGGGGTGCGGGCTGGAACCGAGTCTCGGGAGAATAGGGAGGGGGTGTTCGTGCTGGGGAACCCTGCTAACCAGCTCCGTGGACTTCGGCGATGGGAGCGTCAGGGAGGGTCCCCGGATGGCCCGTGATAATGAAGGAAGCAGGCTCCACGTGTCCCCAGGTGAACCAGGCAGCCTCATTCTCTGAGCCCTGTTGAAGGGAAGCCTGACCAACAGATAGGAGCCACTGGGGCACCCTGCAGCTGGGCGAGCAGAGGAAGGGACCTTCCTGGGCGAGACTCCCACCCTTTGCCCTCCCTGGCTGCAGGCTCTGAGTTGTCCGTGTGTGTCTCATCCGAGGACCTCTCCTGGAGCTGACCCAGCCTCCGCTGCTCTACTTCTCCACAGCGTCCCAAATTAGGTTGGTCAGACTTTAGATGGTGGCTGCAGAGCCCTCCTGCCCCCACCCTAGCCGACCCCCTACGGATGTGCATATTAATAGAGCCTTTGTCCTGGAGACCCGGGGGGCGGGACAGGCCAACTTGCTTGAATTCCACTTGATGCAAACCTTTTGGGGAAGCCTCACCTGGAGGGAGATTCCGGCCACCCTGTGTGGCTAAGCATAAAGGCTGGAATGTGGAATCCTCTTACTTCTTTGAGTCCTGCTGTGATATTCTAGCTAGGAAAATCACAAGTGCCAGGAGGGAAATCAGGTCCTCTCTGTTCAGAGATTTATGGGGTCTAGAATTACTCTCTCACAGCCAATCTTGGCTACATCTGGTGTGACCATGAGCAACTTACCCTTGGTCTTTGCACTTGTTAGATAAAGAAATTAGGATACACTGTAGTGCACTGGCTGGAGTGAAGTGAAGCAGGTCTCAGGGTGGTGCCCTAGCAGATCACACTCTGTACCTGCCTGTATTGTTGGAAGTGAATTCTGAAAGGAATTAAAGGGAAGGAGAAAGGAAAGAAGGGAAAGGTAGAAAGGATCAGCTCTCTAGCTGTTTTGCATATCTACTACTACATGCAAAAAATTTTTTTTTCTTGGAATCAGGAATTGAACTCAGGACCTCTGCGCTTGCCAGGCAGGCACCGTGCCACTGAGCTATATCCTCAGCTCCCCCCCCCCAATTTTTTTTCTTGTACGTTTATCAAAGATCCTTTCTGCCTTAGATATTTTCATACGTTCCTCAGCTCTTAGCCTCTGAGAGGCATTATCATGCTGTTTCCTTATATCTACTAACAATTATTGAAGTCCCTTCTAGGGCTGAACAAATACTTACTGAACTAGAAACTGTGCCTATTCGAAGGCCAGGGGGAAGAAACACACTCAACTGGGATTTCGCCCCAGCCACTGACAGGCGATGTGTTGTGGGGTCCCCCAGAGGGAGGCACCGAGGGGGGGAAGGAGGGGACTTGTCCTTGCAACAGGAAAAGTCCCAAGGCATCTAATGTCAGAGTACAGCCAAGAGCCCAGGCTAGACAGGCTATTTGGGAGGCTGAGGTGCAGGGGAGATAAGGCCTGGCCCCTGGTTTCAGTGTCAAATCCTTTTTCCTTTTTGTTTCATGCTTGAAGTCCAGGTTTTCTGTGTTCCCTACCATTCCCCACCCTGTTCATACCACCTGAGAATGTGTTTTGTTTTGTTTTTGTCAGTACTTGGGATTGAACCCAGTGCCTTCTTACTAAGCTATATCTCAAATCTTTTTAATTTTCTAAATTTTGAGACAGAGTCTCCCTAAGTTTCTAAATTGCCTAAGATGGCCAGGTGTGGAGGCACACACCTATAATCCTAGCACTTGGAAGGCTGAGGTAGGAGGATGGCTGTGAGTTCAAGGCCAGCCTGTACTACACATCGAGACCCTGTCTCAAAAAATAAATACCTAAAAAATTTAAAAATATAAGGGCCAGGCATGGTGGTGCACCCCTATAATCCCAGCACTGGGGAGGCTGAGGCAGGAGGATCACCACAAATGAGGCCAGCCTGGGGTACATAATGAGTTCAAGGATGGTCTGAACTACATGGCAAGATCCTGTCTCAAAAAAATAAATAAATTAGCCAGGTGTGGTGGCCCAAACCTATAATCCCAGCTTTAGAGAGGCAAAGGCAAGAGGATCATTGTGAATTCAAGACCAGCTTGGGCTACAAAGTGAGCTCAGAGCCCACCTGAACTTTGTAGTGAGACCCTGTCTCAGAAAGAAATTAAATAAATAGTTTTAAAAATTGCCCAGTCTGAGCATGAATTTACTTACTGTCTTTTTTTGAGATAGTATCTCACTATGTAGTTCATGCTGACCTTGAGCTCACTATGTAGCTCAGGCTGGTCTTGAACTCACAGTGATCCATCCTCCTGCCTCAGCCTGCTGCGTGCTGAGATTATACATGTATGCCCTCAGTACCATATAAAGAAGGCTCAACAAACTGCCCCAAACTCTTGACTAGACTGACTTCTCCCGGCTGTGTGCCTGAGGCTATCTTTCCTCTGGGTGTGTCTGTACCCTACAGCCTTAGTGTCCTCAGATAGTCACTATTACTGGTGTTATATACAGCACTGCTGAGAACAGTAACTAGTCAGTGACTGGCCCTGATACACTCCTACCAACTGCTGCTGTGATTGTGGGGCTCTGGTCTGTGCTGTTAGGGGTAGAGAGGGATGCTGGAGGCTGGGGATGCCCATGGGGTGGGGGAGGATGGGAATGGCTGGGAGAGGGAACAACAGCCTCTTCTGAGAAGCTGGATGGTGCTGAAGGACCAGATTGCACCCTGTGTGCATGGGACTGAATTTGGGCCAGTCCTCCTTGACAGCTCTGGGCCACCCCAAAAAGGGAATCGTCCCACAGAAGGGCAGAGGAGGTGGGGGGCGAGGGCTGGCTCTGGGGAACCACTGCCCCCCGGTGGCCCGTTATAGACACTGTCTGCATTACTAGCCAGACTCTAGGTTAGGGTGAGTACTTCAGAAAGGGATAATGGATGAAGGAAGGAAGGAACACCCAAGATGGAGGGTTCGCCCTAGCTTCCAAGGCACACCCACTAGGCTACCTCCTGCCTCCAGGACTTGACTATCACAAAGGTCTGCAAGCCAGTCTTTCTCCCACCTGAAACAGCACCTGGTCAGCCCAGATCCGTGACCTTGACTTCTCCAGAGGCTCTCCTTCCTATAACACCCATTTCACAGCTGGCCTGAGCTTCTGGGGCTGGGACTGTGGAAGCCAGGATAAGGGACCACTGAGCTCAGCCTGCCCCGCTCAGCTGAGGGGCCTTGGCCTTGACTTTTTTTTTTTTTTTTTTTTGAAACAGGGTCTTGCTCTGCAGTTCAGGCTGGCCTTGAGCTCACTTTGTAGCCCAGGCTGGTCTCAAACTCGCAATGATCCTGCTGCCTCAGCTTCCCGAGTGCTAGGATTACAGATCCTCCTGCCTCAGCCTCCCAAGTGGCACATTGCAGGCATGTGCCACCATGCCTGGTTTGGCCTTGACTTTTGAGAGTCACCTCCAGAGCCATGAAGTGAGGGTCCAGATGCATGGTCAAATTTGCCTGGTGTGGTGGTGCATGCCTGTAATCCCAGCCCTCGGGAGGCTGATGCAGGAGGATTGCTGTGAGTTTGAGACCAGCCTGGGCTACAAAGTGAGCTCAAAGCCAGCGTGAACTGCATAGCGAGACCCTGCCTCAAAAAGACAAAAAACAAAACAAAACAGATGCTTGGTCAAGGAGATAGCACTGGCATGAACTTTCCCCAAATCTTTTACTTTGACAGTGCTCAAACATCCAGAGAAGTTAGAAGAGCAGGTTAGTAGACTTTCTATCTGTGTCTCATCAGCCCAGAAACATGGCTCAGCCCTGTAGCTTTTTTTTTTAACTGAAGATCAAATGAAGCCAGGAACTTTGCACTGAACTATATCTCCAGCCCTTTTTTAATTTTTTTATTTTGAGACAGTCTTGTTAAGTTGTCCAGGCAAGCCTCAAACTTGTCGTCCTCCTGCCTCAGCCTCCCAGAGTGTGGAGGTTACAGACTGCATACGTCACCACACTCAGTTGCAGCATCTTCTAATAGAAACATTGAGTACATCCACAAGACTAGCTCAAATCTAACAAACTTACAGTCAGTCTATCCCATTCCCATTCATATTTCCCCAGCTGACCTTAGACTGTCTTTGAGAGCCTTTTAGAAGTACATACATCTGGAGCAGAGCCTGGCGGTGCACACCTGTAATCCCAAAACTTGGGATTACATAAGTATCAATTGCTGTAAGTTCTAGGCCAGCCTGGAATATATAGTGAGATCCTGTCTCAAAAAACCAAGCACAGGGCCGGGGATATAGTTCAGCGGCATCAGTGCTTGCCTGGCAAGGCTGAGGTCATGAGTTCAATTCCCAGCACAAACAAACAAACAAACAAACAAACCATACATCTAGATCTAATCAAGGGTAACATCTTGATAGGAACAGCTCTTTGGTCTTCTGTAGAACAGTGCCCCGTACAGGCACTTATTTCTATGACAGACTGAAGAACGCAATTCTGTCTTTGGAGACATCTGCTGAATTGCTTGTTCAGGCAGTAGTTTGGCTTGTTCCTTGTTTCCTTCAGTGCCCTATGGATGGGACAGGATTGGATTGGAGGATCTGTCTTCCACAATACTAAGTGCACGGGAAGGGGGAAGGGCGGGCTGTTCCTGCCTGGAGGGTGCTCGCTTTAATGGCTGGGGCAAAGAGATGGAAAGTCTTAAAGTGCCTTGGGATGGGATGATCACAGAGACCTGTCTGATTTCTCTGCCCTTGCTGCATTGCTCTAGCTGAGACCTGAACTGCCCTGCCTTCATGAGCCATCACTTGTGACCATGGGAAAAAGGATTCCTCTAGGGAAGCTTTTTTTTTGGGGGGGGGGTGTCATAATAGTACTGGGATTTGAACCCAAGGCCTTGCACTGAGTTACACTGCCAGCCTTTTTATTTTTTATTTTGAGGCAAGGTCTTACTAAGTGGTCCAGTCTGGGCTTGATTTTGTAATCCTCTTGCCTGAGTTTCTCAGATTGCTAGGATTGCAGGCACGCGCCATCTGATGAGCATCTTGATGATCTGGGTCCGGCCTGCCGCCCTCAGGAGATCTTAACCCAGGGTCTTTAGCCCCACAGGTGTGAGCGGAGCCAGCGAGAGGAAGCTGAGTGTGCCCAGCTGAGGGAGGTGCGCGCTGCTGTGAAAGATGCTGGCGGAGCCAGTGCCAGCTGCCCTGGGGCAGGAGCAGCTCGGAGCTGTCAAGCTGGAGGAGGAGGAGGCTGCTGGCCTGGCAGGCATCAGGCGGCCAGAGGCCAGGCCAAGGCCTGAGGTGGCCCATCAGCTGTTCAGATGCTTCCAGTATAAGGAGGACATGGGGCCGCGGGCATCCCTGAGCCGGCTGCGGGAGCTCTGTGGCCACTGGCTGCAGCCAGCCCTGCACACCAAAGAGCAGATCCTGGAGCTGCTGGTGCTAGAGCAGTTCCTGAGTGTGTTGCCCCAGCACCTGCTGGGCCGCCTGCAGGGGCATCCGCTTCGGGATGGAGAGGAGGTGGTGCTGCTGCTGGAGGGTGTGCCCCGAGACACCAGCCACGCCGGGCCGCTGGTGAGAGGGGCGTGGAGAGGGACTGATCACCCCCAGAAGAAACCTCTGAAAACCTGACTTTCCTCCACCCACCATCTCCTTACCCTCCTGGCTGTGTGAATCTCCCCTCTCTGTCCCATTGCTGTGGAGGGCTGTCACCTCCTAATGCGGATGTGTTTTCAACAGGATTTTAGTTTCAGTGCCAGCAAGAATTGTCCCCGTACAGACATCATCTTGGAGGAACAAGGGGTCCCTTCGCAGGTCCCCAGCTACAGTCCCAAAAAGGAAGAGCCCCCAGCCCTGCTGCCACTGAATGAAGAAGTGCCCCCGTCCCAGCCATGGCCCTCCAGACCTGCTGAGCCCACAGAGTGGACACCTGCCCCCGGTTCCCGGCAGCCACTGAGTCCAGGACCCCAGGGGACACTTCAGGCCCTGCCAGAAAGCAGTGAGGAGCTGGTGCCCAGACAGGGGGCTGCATGTGTGGGTGAGGGCAGAAGGGCCAGGATGAGGGAGAGCTGGGCTGGCTTCAGGGGCATGCGCGAGGGAGGACTTGTCCTTGGAGCTGCTTGGTAGGCAGGGCTGATTTTAACAGCGCTTTCTTCCTCCCCCAACGCTGTCAGCTCTCCAGGGCCCCTCAGTGTGGCCTGAGGAGTATTCCCGTGACCAGGAGCTGGCTGCTGTGCTGGTAAGCTGGGCTCATCCTTTGCTTAACCCTTCAGGTCCTTCTCAAGCCCAGGAGCTTTCTTGCCTGTGCTGCTTCCCCCTACCCTTTGGTCCTGGGGGTTAAACCCAGGGCTTTTGCAGACCTACATTCCCAGCCCCCTACCCTCCGCTGCCTTTTTGAGACAGGTTCTCACTAAATTGCCAGGGTAGGACTTGAAATTATGATCCTCCTGCCTCAGCCTTCCAAGTGCTGGGATTACAGGTGTGTCCCACTGGGCCAGTGGCTTTGTCTTAGTTAGTCCAGTCAGGCTGTAGTGCCTCATGCCTCATTCATTCACCCAGGGGCCCTGCTGTCATTACAGGAGTCCCTGACCTTTGAGGATGTCCCAGCTAAGAAGACCTGGCCTATGCACCCTTTAGGTAAGCAGCCCCTTTCTACCATCATCTCGGCCACCAAAGGACTCTGACCCCACAGCTGCAGACCCTACCTGGCTTATGGGTCTTGTTTTGTCTTTGTTTTTTTGTGGGCACTGGGAATCGAACTCAGGATCTTGCACCTGCCAGGCAGGTGCTTATACTGCTGAGCTATTTCCCCAGCCCTTGGCCTTGTTGATGGGTTTGTTTTTTTTTTTGTGGTGGTGGTGGTGGTGTTACTAGGGATTGAGCCCCAAGGCCTTTGCACTGAGCTCCATCTCGAGCCCTTTTCTGTTTTTTGTTTGTTTTATTTTTTTGGAGACAGGGTCCCCTACGTAGTAGGGTAGGCTGGCCTGGAACTCACTATATAGCCCAGGCTGAACTTGAATTTATGGTGATCCTCCTGCCTCAGCCTCTACAGTGCTGGGATGCTGGGATTATAGCTGTGCATTGCCATGCCCAGCATCCAGCCCTTTTTAATCTTTTTAATTTTAAATTTTGGGATGGGGATATAGCTCACTGGCATAAGTGCCTGCCTGGCAAGTGCAAGGTAGTGAGTTTGATCCCCGGTACCGCCCCCCCAAAAAAGAACTAAAGCTAATTTTAAATTTTTTGGGGGGGTATGGTTTTCTGAGACAGGGTTTTGCTATGTAGCTCAGTCTGTCCTTGAACTCTCTTTTTTTTTTTTTTTTTTTTTTTTTTTTTTTTTTTTTTTTGGTTTTTCTCCGGTACCAGGAACCGAACTCACGACCTTGCACTTGCCAGGCAGGCGCTTTTGCCGCTGAGCTAAATCCCCAGCCCCTGTCCTTGAACTCTCTGTGTAGTCCTGGCTGGCCTCAGACCGACAGTAATCCTCCTGCCTCAGCCTCTTGAGTGCTGGGATTATAGGTATGTGACACTGTGCTTAGCTTTTTTTTTTTTTTTTTAATTTTTATTTCAGAACAGGATCTCACTAAGTCACTAAGCTGCCCAGGCTGCTCTTGAACTTTCAGTCCTCCTCCTTCAGCCTCCTAGAGTGGTGGGATTACAGGCATATACCACCATGCCCAGGATCTATCTTTCAGACAGCTCCTCGTGTCTGGTCTAACCATCAACCTATTAATTTTGAGCTTTTAAAACAGATGGTCAGAAAGGCAGGTGTGGTGGCACATGCCTGCAGTTCTAGCACTCTAGGAGGCTGAGGCAGGAGGACTGCAAGTTTGAGCCCAGCCTGGGCAACTTAGTGAAACCCTGCCTCAAAAAAAGGGCTGGGGATGTAGTTCAGTGTGATGGTCCTGTTTTTAATCTCCAGTGCTAAAAAAAAAAAAAAAAAAAAAAAAAGTCAAAAGCTGGGCATGGTGGCACATGCCACTCAGTGCTACCTAGTTACTCAGCAGGCTGAGGCCAGGAGTTTGAGGCCAGCCTGAGCAATGTGGCCAGATTTTGTCTCAAAAAAACAAAAGCAAACAAACAAAACTACATAGAGCTAGATAGAGGTGCAGCTCAGTGGTTGAGCACTTGTCTAGCATGCACTAGGACCTGAGTTCAATCCCTAGTACTGACTGGGCATGGTAGTACATGCCTGTAATCCCAGCACTCAAGAGGCTGAGGCAGGGGGATTGGTGTGAGTCAGAGGCCAGCGTGGGCTACATAGCAAGACCCTGTCTCAAAAAACAAAACAAAACACCCTAGTACCACAAAAACAAAGCAAAGCAAAACAAAACAGCGGTCAAGGGAGTGATTCCCTGTGGATATTAGGTTTCCATTTGGAGGCAGTAGTGATAGCTGCACAGTTTGCTAAATGGGCCCAAAATGTATGTTTTAAATTGGTATTGTGATAAATTTTGCTGTGTATTTTACTGAAAAAAATTCTTCTGAAAAAAAATTTTTTTTTAATTTTTATTTATTTATTTATTTATTTTTGTCTTTTTGAGACAGGGTCTC